TATACAAATGAGTCATGCACAGTGCAATTGCCCACCACCCACCTACCAAGTCCCTCCTGTTCCCAGATAACAATCCCGTAGGAGTGATAATCCCTAAACTGAAACTGCAGTTCTGGAAGAGGGAGAGCTCAAGCAAGCCAGAGAGAGCCAGAGAGAGCCTCATTAATACAATGAGCATGACTTTATATGATACAGAATATCCCATTGGCATATCCAAGTATCAATTTGGGTTACTAATTTTAATATTCTCCCCCCCCTCCCCACCCCACACCTTGCACCTGCAGACTAGCAAAACACAGCTAAGGTGGAAAGTCCTTTGACTTCCAGCAGCAATTGAAAACATGAGCGTGTTATCAACATTCTTCTCATAACAAACCCCATACTGAAACCAAAACACAGCGCTATTCTAGCTACTAAGACGAAAACTAGCTCTGTCCCAGCTAAAAACCAGGACAATGTCTGACCCCCTTCAGCGTGGTGCTTAACACTCAGCTGTGTCTTCCCAACACACTTCTAGAGTACGTTACAATCAAATTGCCACATTTGTTATCTTGACATTAAATTGTTAAATCCTGGCCCAATGTAGGTCTGAGACCTGTAAGGAGTACTTATCATCTTACTCATTGTAGTCTTGATTCTTCATGAAAATTCGTAAGAGAAATTCAAATTCTTGGTTGTCTGTTGCAGCAGGAACAACAGCATAGGTTCCTGGGCTCAAGGTAAAGTAGTTGGTCACATCTCGAGTCAGGGAAAAATTTTCTTTCACAACTTTGGAGTTCTCCTGAAAGAAAAATACAGCTGGCTATCTCCTCTCCGCATCAGGAACCAAAGAAAACTAGTAAGTACACCCACAGCAGCCTTACGAATCCCACCGTTTTCTAAATATACCCTGCATCTAACATGCCTTAACCTCCCCAGTGGCATTAAAAGCCTGTCCAGGTGACAGACTTTGTTCAAGGACACATCAAAAATGCACAACGGTAGAAGAACTGAAAGAAACAGAAGGCAAAATGTATGTAAGTGGACTTGAAGAAAACTTCAATTCACATTAAGCAGACTGGAGGTCATGAAGAAATCAAGCATCTCAACTTCCTCAAGCATGACTCAGAGCAGTCAGAGAGCTCCCTAAGCATCTCACCCGATGACAATGCTTCAAGAATCACAACCCAAACCTTCCAGCATCACAAGAAAACAGAACATTCTGATCTTTCTTCTGTTATTCCAGTATTTTTGCTGAGACGAAACAAATATAACGCAACAGCTATTACTATGATGACATGTAAAGATAGCATAATAAAAAACCCTTACTAAACATATTCCCCAAAATACATCAGCGTGTATAAATTACATTTAGAATGGTTATACAGCGTGGCAGAGTTATTTATGAGCCATGCGTTTGGGAGAAAATAACATAAAACTGATATTTTGGGAGAAAAAAAAAAGATTACTACTGTTAGAGACAGCTGGGAGGTATGTAGACTGACAAATATTATGGGTTGGATCTTGAGCAGATAGAAATGGGCAGTGCTGCAAAGAAATAAATGGTGTAATCCTTTTTTTACTTTGGAGTCTCATTCCACATTCCTTCTAGTAAAAAGCAGAAGCAGATTAATATCTCAATGGAGTCAAAACCGGTGTGAGATAAGAATCATCCTCTATACATAGCTCAGCTCTATCACACAACATTAAACTTGTCTCACAGCTATGTATTAGTGCTCCACCTCCATATTTAATCAAAGGCTTCCTAGAGCTATCAGATATGTCCATCCTGGTTTGCATCCTTGCCTGCACTACATTCCCCTCTCATCTTGCCAGGGGATAATACCCTTTTTACTTCACAGCAACAATTTGATGCATCTCAGAAGCTACTGAACAATGAATGATGCTGCTAATGAATAATGGCAGTGAAAGCAGTTGAGGGAGGAAGAGCGAGGCCACACGAATCTTAGCAATTGCACTCTCCTTGCACAAAGAAAACCCCTTGTAAACTTCTATGCAAAGATGCCACCTCTGATTGCCCTCAAGCACCCAAGCTAGATGCTGGGAAATAAACCAAAGGAATAGCACCATACACCTACTCCGGTTTTAGCTCCTGGATTTGGTTTTTGCTGTGACCAGGGCAGGACACTAGGCTGGCTGTGAGCAGCTGGTAGACCAGCTCTCATGTTAAAATACTTAGTCTGTGTCCATGGGGGATTATTTTCTGAATAATCTGTGTGGATTTGTACTTCAGCATTACTAAAAGCTATGGCATGACAGAATAGCATGACAGTCCTCTTTCTCTCATTGACCAGGTGCTTCACAGTAACCTGGTGCCTCTAGTAATGGTCTGTTCTGGCTTTGCCCTTCAGCTTCTGCATAGGAGATCATCTGGAAATAGAAGCACAAACTGAGCCTGAGGTAAATCATGGATTGACAGCCCACAGAGGCCACGTTTTATTGTATTACATCCATCCTTGGGAATATAACAAGACAGAGAAAAACTAAATGAAGACACCTGAGCATCAACTGGAGGGAAAGAAAGAAATTTTAAATATAAAGCAAGAATAGAGCAAATCTCTTCTGTAGGCTACTTCCTAATTGAACAACCTCTTCTCAAGGGACCCAAGACCTATGCCATCTCCTTCCAGTGGGGGTCTCTTCTGTCAAAATGGGTGTCTAATCAAGGTAGACACACATCACACAAGAGCATGCAGGAGCCTCCATGTCTGGTGACTGTTGGGGGACAGCTGATGAGAATGCTGGAAGCAGCAAGTTCCCCATTTACCAGGAGCAGCAGCTCCTTCCAAGTGGCACAGCTGGCCCAATGGAGCCTGTGTGAGCCAACACAGACAGGATGCAGGAACAACCACAAAAACCATGGATAAAACGCAAAAAGCAAATTTATTCTCTTTACCTCGCGAACCAGGGGATCTCCGAAGCAGCACCCGGGGCAGAGGCACGTAAACGGGAGCGCGGGCACCGTGGAGCTCGGTCCTTGCTAGAGAGAGAGCAAGAGGTTCCGAACCTGCTGCTTTCCCCTGTATATATCAGGGATTTTTAGCAGGCAGTAGTTTTCCACTGTCCTTTGATCTTTCTCACAGCAGGGCAGGAATCTCAAGCATGTTCAGAGTGCCCCTGAGTCTATCACAGGCCTATGTTATCTAAGTGAAGATGTTCTACTTGTCAAGCACATAAGACTAAACAATGGTTAGTAGTGTGATGTACGTGTTTTTCGACACCCCAGCTGCAAGTCGCTTGAGCATATTTACAGTCCTCCTCACCAATCTTCCATTATATTCCCACAGAGCCCATGGACCTCCATGTCTGGTGACTGCTGGGGGATGGCTGATGAGGATGCTGGAAGCAGTGAGCTCCCCATTCACCAGGAGCAGCAGCTCCTTTCAAGTAGCACAGCTGGCCCAACAGAGCCCTGCAGGGCTGATACCTGCACCAGGCAGAGGATCTCCTTGCATAGGGATAATGAGTTCCACTTGCTGGAGGAATGTTCTTTTTATTACATCTTTTATTTCTCATACACTTGTTTTTATGAGCTACAAAGCCATGCTCTTCCTTTATGAGGAGCTGTTAGACTTATGGCATCAATTATTCAGTCTGGGACTAGAGCAAACCTCTCCAGTGATCAGGAGAATGTGAAGTTAGGGTCACACCAATCTCTGCTTCCTTTGGTTCTTCAGGTTAAGAACAATCCCCTCCTACCTCCTTCAGCCTACAACAAAAACACTTTGGAAAAGGCTAGCATCCATCCACACTAGCAATTGCACTTTCAGTAAGCCTGGTAATGCTCTGATAATAACTGCCCTTGAAATGGCACCTCCCTGGACACTCATCAAGAAAAAACAAACAAACAAACAAAAAATAACAAGAAAAAAACCAAACAGAGAAATTATAGTGAAGGTCCTGGGTATCTGAGGGAGTTGCCTCTGCACTGGTTTTGAACAAAGCCTTCCATATATTTTACAAATGGTTTTTACATGGTAAAGAAGTGATAGAAAAGAGGAGATGAGTAAGACAGGCCCATTTTGAGGAACAAGAGGCCATTCTGTTCCCTACAAGATCTGGAGTACTGCAGAGGCGCTGTGGTCAGTGCTGGCTGTCATGCCTTTTACTGGGCCAGTACTGCTGGCCGAAGAGCATATTGCCCTGACCTTTCTTGTAACCTATGGACCCCTCCTGGCTATTTTGGGATGCTATAGAACTGAAAGTTCATCCATTCCTCTCTTAAGACACAAGTAAAGGAAACTAAGCCTGCCTAACTCCTGTGATGTTCTAAGATAGAAGGCATCAAGAAGTTCACTCCAAATACTGACTGCTCTCCTTTTACAGCCCAAAGGCAATTCATTCTTTCATTTCCACGTACAGGTATAATAAGCCACGCAGAAAACAACAGTGCCTATGTGATACCTGACTGTGCTTACCTTGGTGATCAAAAAGCCAATCTTCATTTTTTTTGCCTCCTGCGTATCCTCAGCACGTTTTCGCATGAGTGAAATAACTATGTTATAGGTTTTTGGGTCATAATCTGGCACTTCAAAGAAATACTGAGGGTTCATTGAAACTGCACCTGCTGAGAAAGTGTCAATAGATTAATAGTAGCCACATAGATGTCCCAGTAGTAGCCTATTGTGCAAGATCTTGCTTATATGGACTCAGAGGAATAGGTAGTTACTGCTCCAAGGTGCTTTCAATACAACCGAGCACTGCAGTCTCTACATTAGCAGCAGGAGTTGATGCATCTAGAGTTAAACTAATTGCCCAATAATCATTCTAGAAATCTGTGGCAAAGTCACAAAAGTCATGCAGATTTCTCAACCTCCTTACCTCTGCTTCACCTCCATGGCACACATAGGCAGAAAAGCAGTGATTCTCAATCAGCCGCCTGACCCAGTGGCTGAACTGAAAAGGGCTGTGGCTTGGAGATCATAAACACATAGAATAAAAAGAAAAAAAAAGGTCCAAAGCTATCTTCCCCTTCCTTCCTGCTAGTGGTTGTGATGGACAAGGCAGTATTGAGCAACAGAGGGAAAGGGCTGCTTCTTGCCAAAGTTTTGGTTAACAGGAAGCATCCCTGCTAAGAAAGCAGTAAAATGTCCAAACCGAGGGAAAGGGACTGAGACGGCTGCATCTGCTTAAATCAGTTTAGACTTTAAGCCATGTAGCTGTGTTAGTTTGCCTTGAAAGCTGCAATTTAGCCCAAGATTGCAGCTGGACAGAAACTCTGCTAGAGGGCTGGTGGCAAAATACAGCTCCAGGGAAGGTGGCTCTGGCCACACATTCTCAGTTCAGCCGCTGCACCTCCTCACTCAGTTTCAGTGCCTGTGGCACGCAGCGGCACAGACATTGCTTTATTATCAACCTTTGAGACATGTGATCAAGGTTTGAGGAGAACGCTGAAACCTGTAAGCTGAAATCTGCTTCCTGCTAAATCAGGGATCAGCATTGCAGAAAAAAGAAGTTCCTTCATTGACCAGATGCTACCGTCTCAGATGAAAAACAAAGAGCCCAAATGATGGAGCTGGAGAAAAGTAAAATAAGATATTAAAAAATACTAATAATAATTTGAACTCATGATGATAGAAGAGTCCTTGCACAGGCAGCAAAACCAATGTCTTATCTACTCAAAGGTCTTTCTACCTTCAAAAAATAGAGCTTTGTAGCACAATTCATTCATTTCATATCCACTTAATTTCAGAGTATTTCTTGCTCTGTAAAAGCAGCTGCATATTTACCAGACCAGACTTCTGATGAAGTCCCCAGTAACACCTACTGCAACTGGCTGAAAGAAGACAGACAAGCTCATTTTGATTTAAAGAGCTTAGGGTTTCTAAATCACAAGTCTCCTGTTTTAAATCAGGCAGCAGTGTTGCTGCTTTGTTTCTGCCTCTTTAGCTGCTAGGTGCTATAATGGGAAAGGGCAGGCATTAACAACTGGCAATCAATACTTCTGCAATTTGGTGCTCAGAGTGAATGTTTCACTGTAAGCACCAGTGGAGAGGAGGAAAGGACTGGGTGACTGCAGTGAAGTGTTTATTACCTGGGAAATAGTTGTTTCTGCCTGTGGCAAGGACTGGATGCCACCAGTTGATGTGCCTGTCCACGGACCACGTTGTGCAGTGCTGATCTCCAAAGTCCAGAAATGTTGGGGTGCTATTACATATATACAGCCAGGAAAACTGCTCCTGGAAGTTTTCACAGGACATCCTGCAGAGAAGGAGAAAAATCTCACCTTTCAGTTTGAGACACCAGGCAGATGCTCACGTTCACCCTCCACATCTTTAAAAGAGGATTACAGAGAGCACTGCAGGCTGTAGCTGAGCTGGCTGATACCCTGCAGAAGAGGTCAGCTCTCAGTGCATTTAGGCTGCCCTAACTGCACCTAAAGCCCCAAGGAAATTACAGGGCTTCAGGAAATTACTAGGTCCAGTAGTACCTAGGTGGAGCCCTGCTATCTCCAGCACATCTCTGCCACAGTGTCCTGCCCCACACTCATGCTTTGCTCAAGCCTGCAGTGTCCATCTCAGACCAGCCTGCTGTTCCCCTGCTTTCCTCAGAGCTTCATGGGGCAAGTGTGCACTTTCTCCATAACAATAGATTTTCTAAAGGATGGCTCACATATGGCTAAACTGGATTTGAGAGTAATCAAAGAGGCAGTGAAAAATCACTAGAACCTGCAGAGCGGTCAAGTGCACAAGCTCTATGACCTGCTCAGCCATCTGTCCCCTCCAAGCACCATCCAGTCCAAGGTTTAAGCTAGGCACTTTCTAGGGAAAGGCAGCGTGACAAAATGACTAGGTCTCAGGGAGCTGGATTTTTACTTCTCTCACTTTTAATTTTTTTCACTAGCTTGTTAATTAATCTTGGCCAGCTCCATTTCTCCAGGTCTTGTTTCCTCTGAAAACATTGGCTCAGGATAACCTCCAATTTGCTATTTGTACACAGCTAACATAGGGTGCCTTGAGCCATCACTAAGAGCAGAGAACTGCCTAAATGACTTTTCTTCACAATGAACACAAACAGAAAACCTGGTAGACAGAAGGATCAATAGGGAAATACCAGAATTCTCCATCATCCTTATTTCTGAGGAGGGCTTCTCTGAATTTAGGCTCAACATGGTTCCACTGAGGAGAGCTGCAAACAGGAAAAAATAAATAACCAGATGCAGGGCACATTCTTACATCTCTCTGGCCAGCCCATTCCTCCAACCAGCCTGTCAAATCATGAGGGATCAGGAGGGGTGAGCAAACTGCATGCTGAGAACAGGATTGTGCTCAATACCTTCATAGCCAAGGCCAGCAAACAGAGCTCTGTGCCTTTGCTGTGGCTGAGTAGCCCACCCTGGGATGGGGGGATCCTGCCTCTGCCCTCTCGAGCCCCAATCACCTGTCCCCATGCTGGAAAGCTTAGTGAGGTACCAAGGCATGCACTCTGAAGTGCTGGTATTACATTGACATGTAATGACACGGATGACATCATGCTGGGTGGAAGTGTTGATTTGCTTGAGAGTAGGAAGGCTTTACAGAGGGACCTGGACAGGTTGGATCAATGGGCGGCAACCAACTGTATGAAGTTCAACAAGACCAAATGCCGGGTCTTGCACTTGGGTCACAACAACACCATGCAACGCTACAGGCTTGGGGAAGAGTGGTTGGAAAGCTGCCTGGTGGAAAAGACCTGGGGGTGTTGATTGACAGCTGGCTGAACATGAGCCAGCAGTGTGCACGGGTGGCCAAAAAGGCCAATGGCATCCTGGTCTGTATCAGAAACAGCGTGGCCAGCAGGACCAGAGAAGTCATCCTTCCCCTGTACTCAGCATTGGTGAGGCCGAAACCTGAATACTGTGTTCAGTGTTGGGCCCCTCATTACAAGAAGGACATCGAGGCACTGGAGTATGTCCAGAGAAGGATAACAAAGCTGGTGAAGGGGCTGGAGAGGGGCCTTATGAGGAGCGGTTGAGGGAACTGGGGTTGTTTAGTCTAGAGAAGAGGAGGCTGAAGGGTGACCTGATTGCTGTCTACAACTACCTGAAAGGAGGTTGTAGCAAGGAGGGTGTGTGTCTTTACTCCCAGGAAACTAGTGATAGAACAAGAGGCAATGGCTTTAAGTTACACCAGGGGAGGTACAGATTGGATGTTAGGAAGTACTTCTTCATTGAAAACGTTATCAGGCACTGGAACAGGCTGCCTAGGGAGGTAGTTGAGTCATCATCCCTGGAGGTGTTTAAAAAATGGCTAGATGGCGTGCTCCAAGATATGGTTTAGTAGTGAACAGGTATGGTTGGACTCGATGACCTCAGAGGACTTTCCAACCAGGTGATTCTATGATTCTATATAAAGGGCACATTAGCCAGTCAAATGTGTTGCTTCCAAGCAGTATGTTTATAATTAAGTGATAATTGTACTTTCTGCAGAGTGTAAGATAAATAAACAGAGCATGAATCAATAATTTATTGATTTATGCAGCTTACCTGTGAACACGCTCTACTGACATTTCAATTAGTTAGGAATATAGTTCACCCTTCCAAAAACTGGGAGGTTGCTGTTTGAGCAGATAGCTATTATCCCAGCCTTAAACATGTCTGCACCACCTGCCAACCCATCCAGATGCAACACGCCAGCCTGAATTTTCTTAGCAAAGTTATGAGTGTTCCTAGCAACAGGGAGAGGTGGGATGCTATTAAATCACCTAAGAGTGACACCTGAACATCTCTCTAGTCAGGAAAATACTGATGCAATTCCACCAGGAAAACTAACATCTATTTATTTACATAACACCGTTGCAGTCTTCCTTTGTATCATTCCTTTCCCTTGGGAAAGTGAAGTTAGCTTATACACACAGCAGCAAAGTGGTGCATGCATCTCCAAAGCAGCATGCAGGATCCAAAAGATCACTTCTAGTCATCCAGAGGCACTTTGCTTTTGCAATAACCAAGGATGCTTTCTGTCTCTCTGTGTTGAATACCGTATAAAAATACTGCTCTACTCTCATGAACACTGATAACCATCCTCTTCCCAGATTCAGACTCATGGGAGGGGAAGGAGCAGGAAGGTGGATGCATGATTGCTGCAGGAGAATTCAATAGAAGCAGTCAGCTAGTGTCTAGGAACATGGCCAGAGTTTACTACAGATAATAACAACTCTTTCATCCATGACTTACCTGGAATTATCCACTGGGAAAAATGTATTCATAAACAAAAAGGGATACCTGAGCTAGGTCTAGGGAGGGGCACATATAAAACCAATGCTGCAATAGTTTTCTCTGGATTGGATTTCTGTGGGCGGTTGCTTTGCAGATGGAAATAACACTTATAATGAATTGAAATGTCTACTTCATTATAATGGGTGCAAGGCAGAGGTCCTTTACAATAAGCCTATAAAAGAGTGATTTTCCTTATGAGATTAAAGCTTTAAGATCATACTTATCACTCCAGGGCCCCTTCCACTCCCCATGGCCCCATGGATTCCAGATTCTGATGATATGTTTCCAGCCATTCTTGTAGGGTATCTGTAAAGAGGAAAGAAAAATAGACTCAGTCACAGTCTATTTTACAACTGTGATATTCAGTGAAGAGATAGGTAATAAAATGGATCTTTCTCCAAACCTTGGTGGCCTGGTTTAACTTCTGATCTCATTTGACTGTAGCTTTTTGCTACATTGGAAAGGAATGATGGGTGGGAGAAAACTGTGCCCATTTTGCTTTCCCAAGGACAGTGAATAGCTGACACAGAGGGAAGCAGTAGAATTACTGCCACATCGCATCACTTCAATGACCTCCGGAAAGTCCAGTGCCTAACCCTGCACATCTGATGCCGTGAGTCAGCAAAGGCAGAGACTTTGAGGAATCAGGCCACCAGACTGCCTGGAGTGAATATCAACAGTCAGCACAGAGAGATGATGATAAATAGAAACTGTGTCTCTATGTCTACAGTGTTATGGTTTCCAACAGCTGGAGTTCTGGTGCTTTTCTCCTCTTGCTGTCACTGCTTTAAACCAGAAACAACTCACTTTCACCAGTGAAGCTGAAATGGTGGAAGTGGAAAGGAGAAAAAAACCTTTTTGTTTCTGGCTTTCCTTACGCACATAGGCAGTGTTGGAAACAAATGCCCTGGCAGTCTCTCCCCAGGCAAAGGCCCAGCCCCTGGTCAACCTCAAATAATTTCCCCACAGGACACTCCTCTGGATACCTTGGCACTCCTGGAAGGTGGGGCAAATACTGTTTCTCCTCTCTGCACACATCATGACCTGCAGGACGCTGAAATGCCTGCTTCCTCTCCCACAAGATTTAGGGATCCTTCCACCCCTGTCTTGGGGAGAGCCAGCTGGGACCCTCTCTGAAGCTTGGCAACCCCCATCCTTCCATTTCAGAGCCTCTTGGCTACAAGCAAGCATCCTCTGAGAAGCAGCATGCTGACTATCATGATGGCATCAAACATGCCATGGCATATGGGGCTATAAACCAAAGCCAGGCTCACATCGGAAACCATTAAAGAAAGGGGGAGAAGGGAGAAAACAGTTTAGGGAAAACAACATCCCATTTCCAAAGCACTTTAAGTTCCTAGATTAAAATGTGTTGTAGCTGTCTTGCTTAATAGCATAGCCACTGTTTGGTTTCCTCTTGGCCTTGCTCACTGTTAACACTCCCTGTGTGCACTACAGCTTACCAGGGTAAACCATGTTCTGACTTCTGGTTGTAAAAAATCCTGTTTCTTTTGATCTGTGTGATAAATTGGTCCTGTTTTCAGATCAGTAATATTAATATCTAGCCAGGAGAAGTTCTGCATGAGTAGAACGGCTTTAAAAGATGGAGAAATGCTGTTCTTGAATCATCAAGTTATTTACTTTTCACACAGTGATTTTTGGCAGCTTATGATTGAGCTGAAAAAATGTAGATTTGCACCATATGACAAATCCCAGAATTTCAGCCAGTCCTCCTATTTCCATTTGAAACAGAAAAGTGAATTTTTATAAGAGTCAGCATGGAATGAAAATCCCTGGAAATGCTGTATTTGCTGTTGAAGTATCCCAAAACAAAAGTGAATTTAAGTTGCATTTTTCCATTAGGAAAAATTATAGGATTCGGTTACCCTCCCTCATCCTATTATGCTAGAATCCTTCCACCTCCTGGAATTTGAACTATGTGTTTTCAACAATCCATCCTAAGCGTGAAGCTAATTAAAATTACTCTGAATGGAACAGTAGTGTGACTGCCCTGTAGTGGATCACCAGTACAAGATCACCAGGCAGGAACAAGTCCTTGATCTTACCTTCACAGCTCCTGTGACAGTGTAGGCATGACCCTGTACAATCCCATTCCTCAGCGTTATGTTCCTCCTCACCTGCAGAAGGTAGAAAGCACATTTTTTAGCTCTCTGCCACACTGCAAAGGTATAGCCATCATCTCCCTGACTTATTATGTGGTATGGCAGAAAGAGGGACTTGCTTTTGGCTACAGTAGTATCTCAGATATAGTGGCTCCAGAAGAATGTGACCACTGTTCTCACTGCAGCCATAAGTAGTCCAGTAAATTTAACAAAACTACAGGTCTTCACATATTTACAAGTTCTTCAATGGTCCAGAGCTGCTGCAACTGCAGAATGACCTGGACTGTGTCACTGAGAAAATGAGAGCCCCAGAATTTCCTTGCTATTTACAGCCCAGTGTCAGCCGCCTGAGTTGAGGGGCTAGTCCTCAGCTTGTTTGCAGCACCTGTGCTTTGTGTCCTGATGAACCAGGCACCACAGGAGCAATACCATACACTTTGCTTTCTTTCCTTACATGCAATAAGGTAAGCCTTAGTAGCTTTTTAGCCAGATGCTTACTGAGCACCACAAAGCCTTTGCAACTTCCCAGAATTAATATTAGTAGCCTGAAAATCACAATGTGATAATAGAATCTTCTCGCAGAAGAGAGGTGCATTTTGGCCTTGCTAGAACTGACCACAAAGCTATGAGGCCAAAATCAGCCCTGCTGCAAAAGGATACCACTGTCCCAGTGGAGTTAGCCAGGAAAGAAGCCACAGATCCCTCTCTGACAGACCAATCCATCTACCTCTACCCAAGAGCCTTTACATTTCTTACTGCATAAGCTTATCTACTTTCAAAGAGAGGCATGCTCCTGGGCCTGTGACTCACCTGGACTGAAGTGCTACACCCCATCAGACACTTTGATTTGTCAGCTGCTTTCAGTATCTCCTTCAGATCAGGAGGGGGTTCCTTCAATGAAAACTGCACTTGGACTCCACCTGTGAAGTCTACTAAAGCATCAGAAAGGTAACCTCCATGCAAGTTCTGGTAGGAGCCCCGTAACCTGGTGGGGGGGAGGAAAGTTAATTAGTCCTTATACTGTGTTTTAATAAACAATGTACAGTGATGGTTTACAAAATGGACAGGTATATTGAGCCAGTGAGCCTGGGCTGCACAGACATTGGGGCCAGGTAGCAAAAGGAAATGTGATTGAAATACATGGCCAGACACAACACATGCCCTGTGGAATGAATGGGGCAAAGAGGGACCTTTTCCTATGTACTCACTCACACCTGAGGCAGCTGTCTAGAGCCACTAAAAGACAATGGAAAATAATAAGGTGCACCTCATGCCAGTGCAGACATCTTAGGGGATGAGCTGCATCTCATCTTGAAGTGTCCACTTTCCTTCTTCTGAATAGGAAGGGAGCCAATGGTGACCAGTTCAAATGGATGTTTCAGCTCAAATGGAGCTGACCTGTTAGTTTCTACATCATACTTCATCATGAATCTTCACAAAAATAGCCAGTATCCCTTTTGCAAATGAGAAATAGGAAGAAGAGAGAGGTGAAGGCATTTGCCCATGCTCCCAAGGCAAGACAGAAATGAAACAAGTTTTCAGCACTGTTCCGAATTCACTCTGCTAGAGTGCAATAATGGGATAATAATTTAATATTGCCAACACAGTCCGTGTTGTTTTTATCGTGTGCTTTTTATTGAGACAGCAAATAAGCTGGAACATGCTGTACTTAGAGCAGGTAGAGCATGCCATTAAACTCCACCATACACACTGTATTTAATGAATGTAATCAAATGAAATCTGCACTTAATTGTATTTTGAAGGGTTGTCCTTGTCCTACACTGATGAAAAGAATTTGTCATGGGCACTGGGGAAAAACTTCTCAAATGGGAATCTCATAAACAGCATCGCTTGCAACTTTAATTTAATAGAGGTTTGGTTTGCTTTGTAATTAAAATCTTATGCAGCAAATTGATATTGAATCCTGAGTCAACTTTTCTGAGATATCTCAGGGCAAAATGTATCCTCTTCCTGAGTTGCTCAGATGCTGCTTTAATATTTGTTTATCCCTGAACAAATCTGCCAAAATAACTAGCTCTCTACTTCAGCTCCTCTTTACTGCATTGCAAATGTTACACCAGCTTGATGGAGGGCACGTGCACCAAGTTCCAGCCGTTCATACTCCTAGCACAGACATTTCAGCACATTTAATACTAGGCAGTGCTACAGATGCTAAGGCACCACACTCTGATCCCTTCATTCCTAAGAGGATTTTTAAAAATTATTATCTCTTTATTAATCATTATTAAACCTGCAGTACTCTGGTGACCTCAGCCAAGAGTCAGAGTGCTCTGTTTGAAGTGAGAGCTGACCAGAGACTCACAGGAGCACGTGTTGTGCCTGGACATGTTCTTCAGTCATGCTTCCTCTCATTGCTTGCTGCAAACATCTGCATGATCTCTGATCAGCGACTGTAAACAGAGGTAATCCCTACTTAGAGTCTGCAGTTTTACACAGGAAAATATAGGAAGGAAAACAGAAGCAAAGAAGATTGCTTCAAGTAAGGAGATGCCCAGCACCTTTTGTGTCACTAGGCATTGCCCTGTTCATTTTACTTCTCAGGCATTAACACCCCAGAGATGGACTGGGTACTTTTAGGTCTTCAGCCCGAGACCAACACCTCCAGGTTATATTTGCCCTGTGTTTGCATGCAGCCACAGGTCCTTACATAAGTGCAGCACAAGGTACACAGCTGTTAGCCTGAACTCTTCCTTGTGTGCTTTGCATACAGCAGAAGGTGAAACCACTCGTAGAAAGCATTCAGCACTGGGTGGAAGAATAGACCAGGCATGTTTACTTGGCATATGCTTTTTCCAGCAAGGATGGCCAGAATTCATTTGACGTTCGAGGGTGTACGGACAGGTATCTTCCATTTAGGATTGGCAGCTGGTCATCTATCACTACATCCACCCAGTCTCCATATTGCCAGAACTGGAAATAAAAAAAAATTAAAAAAAATTAAAAAAGGAGAGAGAGAGAAAAGAATGAGCTTCTTTTAAGAGCTAATATTCATGCCAAGCAACAGCCTCCTGAAAGAGCACAGGAATTCATTCATGGATATGTGCAAGTTCTCTCCTGAACTGCTTCAGGATGATGGTCTACATTGTTAAACAAACTACCAAGTGGCTGGATTTCCCAGTGGCAGGGAAAGTCATTTGGGAATATAAATAGTCCTGCATTCAGGAGGAGGAAAGACTCAACATGGGAAATACGCTAGTATTATTGGGTGATAGCAAGCATTCAAGATGATAAAGGACAATGATGCAGGTGGTTCAGTAAGCCTCACTCCTCAGCTGCACTTGGATTTTCCCCTGCAGCACAGCTCATGGCCAGAGAGACTCTGACAAGATCCAGTCTCTAAATTTTCTTTCCTCTGTGTTTCAATTAAGACTCTGACGTGCTGTCATGGACAGGAACAGTGTAGTGACTAAAGACTATTTTGAGGTGTTATCCATCTCCTTGATAGATGAGGAGGACGCAAGCAGTCTCTCCAGCATGTGGACAGAGCAGGTGTTTCTCCAG